AGATGCTATAAACGCATATTGTAAAAAGTTAACTATAACCGAATAAAAGGAGCCGGCCAAGAGGCCACCTTAACATCGAAAAAAAAAAAAATAATTTTTTTTATATATTAAAGTAACTACTTGAAGGTCTGGTATAGTTTATTAACTTTATGGTTCAAATATCAGAATACCAAATAGGTACTCCTTGATTTTGTTATATCAACAAGAATACAATTAGTCATACATACTACTTTAGTCATTACTTAATTAAGGGCTCTGCTATATCTATTTTTATCTATAGTTACCCACCAATTGCAATACCTAAGATCTGCTTGTAGATGCTCTATTTAAACCCTCTGATCAACTTAGTACTATTGGATATTTTTTCTAAAAAAATTCCTGCTATTAAGACCCCTTAGAACTACTTTATCCTTGTGATAAATCTATTAGAGTAGTCTATGCCCTACACATATATCATCTGGATTTTTCAGTAACTTATACTCCAATCTGAAGACTGGTACTTGTGATCTTATCACTGCTACTATTATTTACTTCTTGCTCTTACAAAGTTCGTTCTGATCCCAATATCTACTTTCAACCAGCCCTTATACTGATTCTTTCCTGATTATTAAATTAGTTAGTCTGAATGTATTGTTGTATCTAGGCTCTAAGTGTTTTCTGGTTTTACTTCTCTTGGTTTCTAATTTTGTAGCATAGGACCTTTTTCTTTAGTGCAACTCTAGTAGCCAGGCTGGTGGACTCTTTTTGCTCTAGAGTTATTCGTCTAGTTTTTTGGTTTTTGGTTTTAGTTTTCTATAATATCATTAAAGATTTTCACTACTCCTAGCTTGGGTCTTGCCAAATGAGTTTTAAATATTCTAGTTTCTTGGATTTGGATCACTTTAAAGCTTCTATTTTGAGATAGTAGTACCAAGATTACAGATGATATACCTAACTAATTATTGAATAAATATTACTAGAACACAGACCTATTTTTTGAAAAACATTTCCAGTAAAAATCGAACTCTAGACTTGCTGCTTGGGAAGTAACAACTTAACCACACTCTACGTTACCACACTCTTCTTCAAAAAGAATTATTTGCCGGCACTATTTTTGTATAATAATGTATTCTAAAATTGTAGCTTTTTATATATTAATAATTTCTTCACAATAGTATAAGGACTCTATCAAAAAAATCAAATATACAAAGATAAGAATATTATATTTAATAATAAAACAGATAATATTGGTATAAGTCAAAATAAAGAGATTCTCCTAATTCAAAAGCTATCTATAGTTTTAGTTATAGCTTTGATTACAAGAAAAGCTTTGCAAAAAAGAAATCATTATAGTAAAATTTAGAAATTATCTTGTGAAGTGATATTGTTAGCAGTAGTTAGTGATAATAATAAATCATTAAAATAATAAAACACAGAGCAAAAGAAAGAAAAAGACTTTTATATCTAATTTATATACAAGCTATTTTACTTTACAGGAATCTTCTGAATTTGCTACTAATAGTGCTATAGATAAAAACTAAATCTTATTAGAAGAAGATAATAAAGACAATAATTGTGAAGTATTAGATAATGAAACAATTAGTATTCAAGCTCTACAGGGTATTCAAAATTTACTTTATATTATCAGAAGAAGAAGACCACCCAAGTATCATTTTATTAGTAGTATAGAAAAAGAGTAAAATTGGGGAAGAACTTCTTCAAGAAGCTCATATAATTGTTGTTAATATGAATAAGTAGGTTATAATATAGCTTATTACAAGCAAAAGAAAACAAGAAGAGATAGCAATTAGTAAAGACACCAAAATTAGAATATAATTATGCAGACTTATTTTCTAATTGATCTAGTTCTCATATTGTAATACAAATCTTTCCTAATGCATATTGTTATAGTTAATATTTAGTATTAGATATAGACAAAACAGTTTCATCATATCGGCTAATTCGTGTAATACCCAAAATTGATTCAATAGTAGATCATATATAATTTAGGACAAACCATAACACAAAGACTGATAGACTAATGCAAAGACTATCAAAATTAACAAGTACATAGTCTATACTTGAAAGAACTTATATAAAAAATAATCAGCTCACTTATCTATAGTAAATCTCTAAGTAGCAGTCTTTAAAGCATGTTTATTCTGAAGTGTAGAAG